AAGAGATGAGACTCTCCAAATTTTTTCTTTCAGATATAACAGCTGAACAAGGTTAAGAAGAGACTCATGCTCTTTCTTTATTTCTTTTTCTGCATAATGATATTTAGGTCTTTTCTGAAACCTATCACTATCACCTCACACTAATGACAAGACATAAAATTTGTTGGTCCCAAAACTGTAATACACCAAAGAACACTTCCATATATTAATAAAAGGTAAACTAGGACAACGGATTTCCCAAATTTCAAGAAAATGATACAACAATGTAATAGCATACATGATTATCTAACCAGGGAATAAAATGATACAACAACAGATTTCCCATATTCATTAACATTGGCCAATCAAGGAATAAAAATTACACAGGAACGCAATTTCGGCAGCTTCCCCAACACGTCTGGAATTGGATGAATTTGGCATTGATGAACTCCAGCTAATAAAGATAAAGTAAAGTACCTTCTTTTTCCTCATGAAGAGACGGATGAAGGCGAGACTCAGTTTTCTGTGCGTTTAATAGGGTTCCTACTCCAATATGCCACCAAAAAGTTATTTTCCAGTTGCTCATAGTGTTATCCATTAGAAACAACGGATATCCTTGGTGCACTGCAACAGAGAAGTGTTATGCACTAACCAGCTAAGAGACCATATTAATTATTAAGCATGAAAGGGAAACTGCAAATATTAAATAAGGAAGTATACAGCATGTTTAGAGTCTCATGTTTAGATCGCAGTTAGAAATATAAATTGACAAATGTAACCACCCAAAGTCCATTTCAAGTTCTTGTTGTCAAAACGCAATATAACCTAATTCACAATCAAATGTTATGAGTCGCAGTATCTACTTTAACCTAGATTTGAGCTAAGAAATTTACAATTTGAACAATGATTAATAACTGCATCTAAGCTAGAAAAATACCTCATTTCAACTTGAAAACTATTCTACAGAAATTCGGATTCCCACTTTAAAGTGCACTGTCCCAAATGTGTTCAGATTTTAACGAATAAAGCATCATCGTCCAAAAACCCTTTAGAAACCAAAGTAAAACAACAATCAAGTGCAGCTTTCACAAAGTCACCAGTAGTCCTTGCAAGAGCACAGCCCATCCTTGAAATGATGAAACCTATTTGCATCTCTCAAAATTATTTCACGCCGGGTGAGTTTCGCAATTAATTTAATAGCCGCATGGCAATCCCCACAAACCCTCAGGTTCTTCATTACACGAATAGGCACCCCTTCAGGAAGCTTCAGAAGTCCATACACTACAGCCAACTTCTCACTGTGCTGTCTTAAGCTCTGTGCCTTCTCTTCCTCCTCCACATCATGTAGAGCAAAGGCGCCATCAGGATTATAACCAGCTTCTCTTAACATCCCACTTAGCTTCTCCCACATCCTAACAATCTCCGTATGGTCACGATGCGTTTGCATCTCTCCACCAGTGAACATATGTACTTCTTTTTCGATCTCAATCCAGCTACAGCCAGGTGGCTTCTTCACCTTCCTGGACCTCATGTTTTTCCTCAGTCGGGCAACATTCTCCCATTTACCTCTTGAGGCATAAATATTCGATAGCAAGACATAAGGGCCGGCATTTTTAGGCTCGAGTTGAAAAAGTTTCTTTGCAGCAATTTCTGCCAGGTCAGAATTCATGTGGTTCCTACACGCACCCATGAGAGAACCCCAAACAATGGCATCCGCCTCTAAGGGCATATTGTTGATCAAACGCATGGCCTCGTCCAACTGGCCCGCTCGCCCAAGAAGATCAACCATGCAAGCATAATGTTCGGTAATTGGTTCGATCATGTATTTTGACTTCATGGACCCAAATATTTCCTTACCCTCTTCAACCTTTCCACTGTAACTGCAGGCTGAGAGGACTCCAATGAACGTAACTTCATCTGGTTGAATTCCCGATGAGGAAATATCTCTAAACACTTGTAAAGCTTCGTCTCCAAGACCATGCTGCGCATAGCCAGAGATGACTGAGTTCCACATCACTATATCCTTGCACGAGCATCTATCGAAAACTATCCTGGCCTTGAAAACATCACCACATTTCATGTACATGGTGATCATAACGGATGACAAGTACACGTCGTCATGAAACTCACACCTCATCAATTTAGCATGAACCTGCCTGCCGTAATCCAGAGTGGCAAGACTCGCACAAACTGAAAGAATGCTGATCAAACAGGGGAAATGGGGTCTAACTCCCTCTCTCTGCATCATACGAAAAAGACTAAGGGCCTCCATTTCGTACCCTTTCCGCTCATAAGTTTTTAACATAGCACTCCATGTCCCGTCGTCTCTATCCTTCATCAAGTTGAAAATTTCCCTCGCTTTCGAGACATATCCATTCTCACCTAACCCAACAATCATTGCATTGCAAGCAACAACCGGTTTAGTTGGCATAGCCTGGAAAAGCTCCCACGCGTCCTCAATCCTCCGACAATGAACATAACCCATAAGCATTGCCGTCCAAGTAACCTCATTTCTTTCAGGCATGACCTCAAAGAGTTTCCTTGCAAGATCAACCTTTCCATTCTGTGCATAGCCCGAGATCATGGTTGTCCACGAAACCACATTCTTATTCCGCATGCTATCAAAAATCCCGCGTGCCTCTTCCAAAAGGCCCGTGGAGCATAGCCCACCAATCATGCTAGTCCTTGCAACGACATCCTTCACAGGCATCAAGTCGTAAAGTTTCCTTGCCTCTTCGATCCTGCCTTCATGGAGCAGCCCGCCCAACATGATGGTCCAAGATATGACATTCTTCTCAGGCATACTCCAAAACAGGGTCTCGGCCTCCAGAAGCATTCCCTCCTCCACGTAGCCTCGGACCATGGCAGTCCAGGATATGACATTCCTTTCGGGCATTGTGTCAAACACTTCTCGAGCTGTCTGAATCATCCCGTTCTTTATGTACCCGGAAATTAATCCATTCCAGGAAACAATATTTCTCTCGGGCATTGCATTGAATAGGATCTGGGCTTCGTTAGGCTTACTGCTCTGGAAGTATCCAGAAATTATAGAGTTCCATGATGCGACATCTTTGTATGGGGTCCGGTCAAACAATTCTCTTGCTGACTTGATGTCTCCAAGGCGGACATGATGGGCAATTTGAGATGAAGGTGGCACTTCAGTACTACAATAGTATCCGCGATGCTGAATGGGATAACACTGCAGTCACAGATTTACAATTAAATTTGATGACAGAATTTTTCTTAATTAACCACAAAAAACTAAAATGGATATAGACTNAAAAAAAAAAAAAAATGGGATAAAATGTACCATTAACAAGTTTCTTTCGTCCTATATTCTTACTTTTCACACCTAAGGTATGTATGCAGTTGCATGTGATGCAAACTGAAAGTTATTAATGCATAATAAAAGTTATTAAGCACTTGAGGTTATTCAGACAAAGTGTACATGCTTCATTTTATGGCAGAACAAACATATTTCATGGTCAAACTAACCACAGATATTTTACAGCAGACCAGAATTCTGAAACCTACATATTGTAAAATTTTTAGAAATCGGTTGATTCCCTTCAGCAAAACTAGCAAGCTTCTGGTAAGAATTTCATGCTTAATATCATATTACTTGCTTAAACCTTAATGTAAGACTTTTAACAGAACTTTAGCGAGTACGAACTTAGTGGCATTATTTCAGCAGTACACCAACAGAAAACTGTGTTCAGTTCCAGATAATCACGCTATTGGGAAGTGGGTACCTCCTGATCAGAAAATACCAATTAAAGGGTCGATCTAGGAAAAATTCTGGAATCAATGGTTTTGGGCTAGGTTGAACTGGTGGCTCTAAAGGATTCTGACCTTGCCTTTTTCTGAACTTTTGAACTAAAACTGAATTGGATATGAGTAACTATACAATATAAACTGATAAATGGGGACAAAACTATAGAGGAAATTCCCAGAACAGTATTCTAAAATCGATCGCCTTATAGTTCTTTCTCGAACTAAAGGCAATTTTCCTTTACCCAAATCCAAACAATTGAACACATAGTACAAAAGTAGTACTGAAAGTACTGTATATTTTCACACTATGGAGTTATATTGGGAAAATGGAGAAAAAATAGAGTCAAGAGAAGCCTCTTTCATTCTGCAAGATTTGATGCAGACTTAAAATCTCTACTGCAACTTATCCAGCTTTCATCAACTCCTCATTCACGGTATTGTAAGTATGTTTAATACAATGTCCATTAGGTCGTAAATTACAAAGAAATCCAAACCCAAAATAATTAACGACCTAATGGACATTGTATTAAACATACTTAGGGACGAACTAAAAAGCCCAATATTCCAGAAATCCAAACCCAAAATAATTAAAAGTACATGAAGGTGACCACAACTGAAAGAAATTACTAAGAGCTGACATGAATGAAGTACGGACGAGAAACCTGTCTATTGGATATCACCGGGGAATATATGGAAACCATGTTGACAGAGAGGTCTGGAGCTGTGGAAGGCCGTGGCTGCATGATGGCCAAAGGAGTTTTGGGTGGGCCCAGGTCGGGCACAATCAGCCTCCAAGTCGCCTTGAATAAATCGTCCCCCGCGGACTCGGAGGATGAGAAGGCGCTGGGAAGTGAGACTAATCGGACGGCAGCGCGGCGGGACATGGCGCATACAGGGAAATGATAGCTCGTCTCGTTGGGGGAAGAAATTGAGGTGAGGCAAGAGAAGGGGACTTCTGGACAGACCCCTTTGGTTTTTAAATAAATAATGGGTGGATTGTATTGTAAGTTTCAACCTCTTGTACAATTTTGTCATTTCCTAGCCTTCACAGCAAAATCGCGTCTCTTTCCCCTTTTTTCGGTAAAACCTAGCCGTCATCTCGATGTGCCCCTCTATTCCTGTCGGCCGGCCTCCACGCCCTCCTAGTTGGTCGTGGCTGAGTCGCAACTGGAGGCTATCTCTTGCCTTGTCCGGAGACTTACGAGAACCTGATCAGAGGTGGGTCTCGCCAATCCGTCTGTCTCTCTGACTCTAGTCGGGTTTGTCGGTCTTCCTTGTTTAGCTTCTTGTCCTGGGTGGTCATCGTTCCCTGGGGTCTTTAGTTCCCGCGCCTTCAAGCTCTGTGCCCTTGGTGTTGCATCCGCTCGGCTGCTTGGCTCCAATCGAGGTTGCCGGTCCTCCTTGTCTGACTTCTAGTCCTGGGTGGTCGTTGTTCCGCTGGAGTCCTTAGTTCTAACGCCTTTAAGCTATGCGCCCTTGGTGTTGCGTCCGCTCGGCTGCTTGCAGCCTTGGGGAACCCAACCTTAGGATCTTTTTTTAGCCTATCAACGTTGTCGTGGCGGCCCCTCTCCCTCCCCAGGCGTTGAAGTCTTTCAGAGCCCATAACTGGTCCGAGATTTACCACCTCGCCAGATTTGTTTAGGCGGATCATTTTGTAGCCGCAATTTTAGTGTTTTGACTGTAGGTTTACGGCTTTGTTAGATTTTTGTGTTGCAATGTGTGACTCGGTTGTTGGTTTGGGTGGTTGTTTGGTTAGTTTGCCATGTTTAGGGGAGATCTTATTTTACTTATAATTTAGGTGTGCGTTATTATTATTTATTTATTTTTTGTCTTTTTATGTTTTTCATTTTGTTTAGTTCAATAGCGTATGATGTTTAGTCTCCTATGTCTCCTTTATGGAGTTATGTTTTGTAGTTGTTTGTGTTTCTTTGATACAATTTGTACTTCTTTGGTCGTATGTGTAGATCCAAGAGAGCTTGTCTAGACTTTGTTCTGGTTCCAGTGGTGTCCGATGACATATTAATTTGTACTCTTTTGAGTTTTTCAGATATTAATATATTTATCGTTTGAAATAAAACAAAAAAAAAAAAATCTATCCAATAACATGATTTTTGACCTCTTTTCCACAAAATTCCACACAACTCTTCTTCTCTCTTTCCTTATGTTTTCTTACTTGGAACCTTCTATGATCAAACACCCTTGTACATATCTAACATTAGGTATCCTCCTATTTCACTATTCGATTGACTCAAAAATAAATATCAACCATATATTCAATATACGAGGCAAAAAGAATTTTGGTCGTCTCGTACATTGGCTCGTAAGCATCGTGTACGTTAAAAACCTATTATAGCCTTACTTTAATTTAAAATTAAAAATTAAATCAATTCATATCAAAAGATTTTTGCATTTAGTTTCAAGCCTATAAATATATCTAATTTGTATATCAATCCTACAAATTAAAAAAACATATCATAACAACTTTATGAATTGTTTTTTTACATTTCATATGCGAATTGGTCACCACGAAAACCTCCTCGGTGTCTGGCTCTTCCTCTACGCCTTCTGCCCATCCAACTAGTCGGTGGTGGTGGCGGGCACAAGAGGGTTTCTTCATCGTCCTCGTATCGGTAATTTGAGATTGTCATGTCTGAGTGAGTCTTGTTTTATGTTGGTCCCAATTTTACCATAAATTATTTGTTCAAAAGTACAATAATTTATCAAGTGCTTGAATTTACTTGTGTGTCGGTCGACTATTGCTTTGTTTCGTTTGGAAGTGATGGGTGTTGAAAATAAAAAACAAAACTAAAAATTGCATCTTTTTGCAGAGGGAGTGGACTTTGGATTGTGGGATTTGGAATAGTTAAATTTTCACTAATTTCACTTAACAAACTTGTTACTTGGGGATCTGAAACCATGAAGAAATTGCTTTAGCCACAAGTTCTGTGTTAGGCCTTTGATTTTCTCTAGTTATTTTACTTTGAGATGTATCGGGATGTTGGTTTGAACATTATTGAAGTTTAAGTGCTTGTTGCGTTCCACTAGTTGATATGGTGAACCTAATTCAAGATTTTGGGCTTTTTGTTCCTGTTGGCACTAATCTTGAGCTTGGAATCCTCATCTCGGGCTTGTAATGAAATATTACCAAATGAATTTGCGATTTTCAGATTATTGGCATGTGTTTCATGTTTATCCTTGATTCTTGCAACAAAGACCCAAAATTGTAATTCAAATGATTATGTTGCACTGAGGGGATTTCCAGACTAATTGGTCGATGGCTCAGTTAAGTTTTAATGGTCTGGGGCAACAGACTGCTGTGAATGGGATGGTGTTGTTTGTGACCTTAATCGAGTGTCCATCTTGAGGTTGTCTGGAAAGGACATGAAGGGCAATTTTATGAGTCTTTATGCAAACTTGATCAATTGAAATTGCTCGACCTTTTCACATATTGACCTCGAATGCCGACTACTGTTGAACTTCTCCAGCTCGAAGCAACTGGTAGTTCCTGATTTAGGCCATAACTTGCTATTCGGGCATACGTTCGGGTCAGTTGCAGGGTTAGCCTCGATTCGTCTGCTCAATCTCTCGAGCGATTCCTTCTCAGGGAAACTCATTGATTTTGGCAAATTTCCCAAGCTTTTTGCATTGAACATATGTAACAATGTGTTCGCTAGCCCAATCAACTCCATGGTTTGCAACTTATCTAATGGAATTCTGGTTTTAGATATGTTGGCTAATAAATTTACAGGTGGGCTTGAAGACTTAGAGAATTTTGGTACATCTCTGAAGCGGCTCCATTTGGACATTATTTATATTTCTGGTGAAATCCCAGACCTTATTTTATTCTTTAGAGCATCTTACGATTTCGTCCTACAATTTTTCGGGCAAGCTAAGAATTAAAATAAGTGCACTTTCTAATCTTAAAAACTTTGTCATGTTTGGCAATAGGTTTTCCGGTTACTTTCCTAATGTGTTCAGTAACTTAACTGGACTCGAGCAACTTGTTGTGCATTCGAATTCGTTCTTGGGCCCACTATCCTCGACTTTGGCCTTCTGTAACAAGCTTCGTGTGCTTGATCTTTGAACTAACTCGCTCGTTGGTTTCTTTGATCTTAATTTTTCTAGAATGCCCAATCTAAACAGTCTTGATCTGGCCAGCAATCATGTTTTAGGTCTTGGATTATGAAATCTTGTGTACATATATGGTTCTTGATCTCTAATAATTTGTCTAGGCTTGTTAGATATGTCATAAATCTTTTTACTAAAATTGAAATATAATTTTCTTATTTACGACAACAAAATAAATTGAAGAGTTGAAGTTTGATGATTAAATTGGGATGTATTATTGATTTCAATCTTTTTTTTTTTTTTCTCNATAGGTAAGTGGATGTATCTAGATACATAGATTTTATAATCAACGAAGAAAGCTTAAAAAGATTTGTTATTAGATCACAGATGAACTAATTTCATTCGTACAAACTAAATTAATCATACTCCCTTTTTCGGAGTTAGATGGGATCTTTTGTCAGCATAGTCTTACATATAAGTTACAGCGTAAAATGGTTTATTTTAGTTGTTTGTGAATTGTAATAGCATGTTGCCATTAATTCTGATGATATTGGGCAGGTTTACTGGGCAACATGGCTCCTTGTGTGCTCTATGGAACCAATGTCGAGTGACTTGAGTAGACTTCTAATAATACATTTGCTAACCACTGCTTGACTTACACTAGCCTTTAGTTAATCGACCAACATAACAATTTTACCCATAATCCATAAATCTCCATTTTCCCCGAAAAACACCAACAAAGAAAACAAAACTCAGCTCAACCAATTCATCAAACACAATGCAAACAAACACCTAATTCAATCCCTTCCCACTTACTAGTCTCCTCATCCGCACGCGATTCTAGCCTTCGCACCTATGAGACGTCACCAATTGCATCTTGTAACATGTGTTGTGCTCGATCACCGACTTCCCAGTTCAATTTCCTTTTAGCCTCCGATTAAAATGCAAAATAGTCGGAGTATCCTCGTCCTCCACCATCTTCAACCCCTGCAACTCCATCATAAACTGCAAAACCATCACATCCTTCAACAACGAAATCCTCGGGTCGCTCTCAGAATGGGCCGCCTTCAGTTTATTCACGGCCGTCATGTGGGACCCTACGTCAACACACAGAGAAGCACCATAATTTTCCCATTCTTAAAGAACTCTCCCCACCTACAGATTTGGAGTGCGGGCATTACTTGGGTTTGGTACTCCCTTTGCTGCAACACCCGTTTGCTGTCGTTGTTTTGGCTAACTCGACCTCCCGCCAGGGCTTCCTGTCGATTTTCAACGTGTCCTTGGCAACCATCGAAATCTCGATGTCGGGGCCCGAATTCACTATCCCGACGGTGAGATTCAACAAGGAGAGCGGCGATTGGAGGGTTTCTCTGATTTTTCGCTCCGCCAATCGGTGGGGGAGGTCGAAATATAGATACAAGTTAGGATTTGACAAAATTCTGTATTCACCGTACAAGTTACCATTTTTCGTGAAACAAAAATCGCCATCGACATCGAGAACAAAAAATCAAAAAGAGAATTTTGAGTTAGATAAATTGAATTGTAATTGAGAAATACTTGGTGGTTTATTTGAGATATATAATTATATATAGGCTCAATGTTAAAAAAATATAATTAAACACCTTTTAAGTAAATTAATTAAAGGTTTATAATGTTACCTTCTCAATTTTTTTTTAAGTAAGGGTTTTTAGTATTTACATAAGATATTTTTTCGAATTTTTATTTAATTAATTACGAAAAAGAATATTTGACCATTAAAAAGGTACAAAGGTAGAATGAGCCTTATTAGATACTTGTTACTCTCTCATATTCATAATAAGTGTCGTTTTGTAAAGCACACTAATTAAGAATATTTCTTTTGTCAATAATAACCCTCGTTAATTAAGATAGAGATGAATGTTTTAAAAAAAAGATGAAGAGCATATGAAAAGACTAGTGTATTTATTAATTAAATGAGGGTAATAATGAAAAAATATACACAAAAAATCTAAAACGATATTTATTTTTATTAATAGTTGATAAAGTCAAAATGATATTTAAAAATAATAGGAGGTAGTATTTGATAATACTTCTTTAGATATCCATGTCAATCCTTATTAGCATGTATGTTTTCCATTAATTTATCTTCACTGATCAGACTAACTAGTGCGTGGCCCGTGCAATGCACGGGAAAACAATATTAAGATTGTATTATAAATTAAATATATAAATAACATTAATCATGATATATGTATTGTTTTTACATTAAACTGGGTTGGACACAGTCCGACCGGATGGACGAAGAACCGATTTATAACCAGTCTAGTTCACTTGAATAAGATATTTGCTTTTGAATCCGTCAACACCAGTCGGTTGGATTTGTAGGATCGACACGATTTTTTAAATAAATTTTATTATATTTAAAATTATTTTAAATAAAATTGCATATTTAAATAAAATAGAGATTTATAAATTATTTATCAATTAGTTTAAACATTTGAATTTATAAATTTTTTAAATATCTAAGTAACACATTTTGTTTAAATTTATTACAATAAATACTATATATTTATATATATCTATATATTAAAATGTTTATAAATTAAAATCTGAACAAACCACAAATGATTTAATAAAATAGCTTGACCGTTTCGATGACGGTCCAGTTCTGAGAACCTTATATTTAATGTATATTAATAAATATTATAATAAAACATTTTTTTTATTCACATAAATATTAATAAAATGATATATAAATATTCATAAATCATTAAACATGTTGTCACAAAAGTATTGTTAATACGATTATTTGAAATTTGGACTATATCACATTCACGTAATAAAATATTTTCAATATAAAATTTATATTTAGGTTCAATAATCGATTTGGTGTGATCGAACTGATTCATAACTTAGTCACCTGGGACCAACCAAGTTGTGTCAAGTTTTTTTACTATTTTAAATATCACCTAAAAGTAATTCAATCAACCTGGGCAGTACCCTAATTCAATCACCTGATTGATCCGAAGAAATTTTCTTATTTTCTTTAAATATATTTAATTTTATGAAATAAAAATATTTTATGATTCATATAATAAATGTCTATACCAAATGATAGTATATTAAGATTATAAATTATATATCTTAAGATGAATTAATTATTTTTACTTTATGCATATTAATAAAAAATAAACATAGTAATTTTTAAAAAATTAAGATTAATTGATTGATTATGCAATTTAAAGAATATTTTTAGCGTTCAATTTTTTTTAAAGGCACAAATATAAAGACCGGATTCTAAAACTTTTGTTATATTTTGAATTGAGATTTTATAAATATAGAGACCGAGATTTTAATTTTGTTCGTTGTTTCTAAGAAAAAAATAAAAATAAAAACATACACATTTAATAAATCTTAGCAGGATTTTTTAAATAATAAAATGAACTATAGCCCGAAATTTAAGATAACATTTAATGCTGTATGAATTTTAAGGAAAAAATAAGAAAAATGATAAAACTTACTATTTATAGACTGCATTAAATTTTGACCTATTTTTTTGCTACTATTTTTGGTAAATGTTAATTCTTATTATATATATATAGATATAGATATAGATATAGATGTCTGAATAGAATTTCATTCTTCCACTCGCACCCCACGATACGCACAACGAGACAAGCCAAGTCTAGCATTATAATTGGTTAAACACGCGCTTTCTCCGACTGTTATCGGCTAATCCATCGGACAAAATTCCCAACTGTTTACTTCATGAGTTCATGGCGTATATATTTTTACGACCACAAGGACTTGGTATATAATTTTTTTGGTTTTTAGTTTTTATTAGCTTTTAACTTTAATATCCAAAACCGCACACTTTGCTCTGTCTTCCCCATTCTTTCTGCTCTCCTCGCTCTCCTTTTAAGTTCTTTACACCTTCACATTTCACTTCTTTCTGTAAGTATAGGGTTTTCAGAACTAATCCGGCCTCAACTTGACTCTTACGGAAAAGAAAAATTGGTATTTGCATCATTTTTCTTTTTCTTTTTGTAACTTTTCTCATCTTCCAGTATTTGTAGATGTGATGGTGCTAAAAAATTAGGGCAAAACCGTAGCTTACTTGCTGTTGATTGTGGTAGGGACAGCTACTATGCTGAGTCGCAGTAGATTTTTTTACTGAATCTTGAAAGAGATGCCTCAAATTTCACTGGAATAGGTACACTTTATAGTTTTGCTTGAAACTTCTTACATTTTTCCGTTTTTGTTGTTTTTACGCTGTTTGAAGTGGAAAGTATCTGTTTTAATTGTCAATTCGATGCACGTTGATGGTTTCTGAATTTCATTTGGCTAGGGTTTTTTTCCTCTTCATGTCTCATGCTATTTACCTTTACTGATAAATATTTGTTATTTCGGCTCTAATTACCGGTGTCTTAGTAAAATTGGGTTTTATGGTGACAGTGAAAAGCGAAGAAATGGAAGCGGAGCATGCGTTGGTCCTGGCATGCGTAATTTCAGGGACCCTTTTCTCTATTCTGGGTTCAGCTTCTTTTGTTATACTCTGGTTGGTGAATTGGAGGCCCTGGCGCATTTACAGGTTATTTCTCCTACTTATTGTGCCAAGTGCCCCATTCCTTCAATTTTGTTTTGTTCTTTCCAACCTTACTAATTTGGTCAACTCGTCAGCTGTATTTTTGTTTTTCTTCAATTGACATCACATTGAAGTTTTGCATATATCCTGAGAGGGAATGCATCCAACTATTCTGTTAATGATATTATGCACATGTAATTCAGTAAGTGCTTTCTCAATTCTCATGTTACTGTTGTCCATGTTCACTTGAATGCTTGAACGAGACAAGCTTCAGTTGGTAGAAAAATAAGACTGGTTGAGTACGAAATGTTAAAACTAGGATTTAAGCTTAATGTCTTGTGAAAGTTGTAATCTTGAATTCTTGGGGCATACGTTCCTTGCCTTGAATTCAGCACATGGATGTAAGAATCTAAAACTGCATAGACTATGTGATTCTCGTACTATTGTTTTTGAAGTTTACGCAAACTATGAGTTTTATTGTTTAGCTCGTTAGTTACTACTGGGTAATTATTCTTTTTAGACATGCTGCCTGAGGCTGAAAGGGATTCTGAACCCATGACCTACCTGCTATATAGGATACCATAGGAAACTAAGAAGGAAACATAAAAATGATGAAGATAATGTAGTTGTTTTTTTATTGTAGCTTATTTGTCTAATGGACGTAATATAGAAGCAATGGACAGTTCTTTGCTAAGATTATGTTTATTCTTCTGAGATTGTGTGCGAATGAAAGTTCATCTGACTGATGCTGATTCATGGTGCATTGCAATTTATAAGAATTGGTTTATTTTGGATGGGGTATTGAACTTGTTCTGAGTTCAAGGCTTCTAGCTAATAATAGATAGTTCTGAAGATCATTACTAATTTACTATACCAAATAATGTCAAGACTAAAAAATGTTCTTGCTTTATATCACAGTGAGGAGAATTTCATGTTTTAGTTAGTTTATCTTGAAATTTGGAGCTTTCTTTAACTATATGTTTGTTCTCACTAAGTCCATCAATGAATACTGCAGCCATTGTATACTATAGTGAATCTGAACTTTCCTTTTTTATGATACATGTTGATTGCCTTAGGGAATTGTCTGTGTATAGATGCACGTACAGTTTTATGATTCTGAAGCAACTTTTATGGAAAAGCAGATAACAAAGTAGGATGCAACATTTTGATTTTTAAGTTCTGCCTTTCTATGGTTCCTATTTCCTTTCATGTCCACAAAGTATATTTT